GGGCAACCTTGGAATAGAACAGATAACGGCTAACAACTTGTATGTAGAAGGAAGAGAAAAAGAAGGGGGGTGACAGTTTTCAGTTTTGGACTTGAGCACTTGGAAGGAAGGAGAGCGAGCATGAGCGGAGATGGGAAGACTGAGAAGGGCAGGTTTGGAGAAAGATCAGGTGCTCAAATTGGTCACAATGGTTTGAGGTGCCTGTGGACACATCTGGAAGGCAGTGTAGATATGGATACATGAGCCTGACTTTCAGGGGAAGGCTAAATTTGGGCGTCTTCAGTGTACAGGTGACCTTTAAAGCCCGGAGACTGGATAAGATCATGATGGGGGTGGGTGTAGACAGAGGAGAGAAGAGCCTGGGGCTGTCTCTCCAAAGGCAAAGGAGACAAGCCGGGGCAAACGGGGAGGTGGGCGGAAAACCAGGGAATGGGCTTCTGGAAGCCACCAAAATAGAAAACCTGCAGGAGGAGGGTCAGACGCTGTTCAGAGACAAGAGAGATAGATGGGAACCAAAATATGGGAGAAGGAAGCTCTGCAGGAAGGACCTGGCAGGGTTCAGACCCCTGCTCTCGCTCCCCTCCCTCCAGCAGGCCCTGGAGCTCCTGGACCACCGGCTGAGTGAGAAGGTGAAGCAACGGAATGGTCTGCGGCACCAGCTGGGATTGCGGCAGAAGTGGCTGGAGGAGCTCCAGCTGCAGCACAGCCTACGTGAGCTGGAGATGGAAGAGGTGCAAGATAGCAACACTGAGATGGCTAAGGTGCGGCCGGTGAGGTGTGGAGGGCTGGGAGGTGGACGGGTGAGAAGGGGCTCTTGATCTAGGGGGGAAGAGGAACTAAGGGTGGAGGGGACTCAGCCCAGCCTTGTTTTCCTCTAGATCTTGCGGAACCTCGAGAACCGTCTGGAGAAGGCTCGGATGAAGGCGGAGGAGGCGGAACATATCACCAATGTGTACCTGCAGCTCAAGGCCTATCTACAGGTAGGGACCAGAATGGCTGGGGACGGGGAGGCAAGTGGGAGGGCCAGCCTGGCCCGGGACAGTGGTTACAGGCCTGCCCCACTCCTCACACCCCAGGAAGAGAGCCTTCACTTCGAGAACCGTCTGGACTCCATGGAGAGTGAGGTGGTGAAGACAAAACATCAACTAGAGGAGATGCGCGTGGTGAACCAGGAGGCACTCAACACCCAGAACACTGCCAAGGTGCCAGCTCACTGGTCCCTGGGAAACCTACTCAGACACCATGGTCTCCTGGCCCCAGCATCTGAATCGCAGCTGTCCCAGAGCCACTCCTATTTGTCTCTCAGGACCCTGCAACCTGGCCCAGTTGGGCCTGTGGCTCTGACCCTGAGCCATGGTAGATGCCAACTGGTCCTGCTGTCCCCTTGCCTGCCCTCCAGAGTCAGCTGCAGTATCTGGAGGAGACTGTGTTCCGAGAGCGCAAGAACCGCGAGCACTATGTAACCGAGTTCAAGAAACTCGCAGACGAGAAGAAACTGCAGAACGAACGCATGGAGCGCAAGGTGGGTGCACCCGGGGGTGCCAGGACCAAGGCCCTGTCCCGCACTCCTGATCCCTGCTTGGTTGCCCTTACCTGACCTAAGCCTTTGCCCGGGACCCCCAGACTGGGCCCCACCTATTCCCTGACCCCTGTCCAGATACCCTTTCTT